ACGTTTCAACCCATGTTCATGTTCAATACCTCTGTGCTTCAGCGACTTGGCGTAAACCGCGAAAGAATGCTGCTTCAAGAAAGTCGCATCCGTGCTGGTACTCCCTGCCAACAGCATGCTCCTTGAATGAGGATGCACCCCTCGCAGAATATTGTCATGCTAATCACATACAATTACGAATGCTGATCTGCTCGATTACACGTAGAAAGTGAGCGTTGCCCCATCTAAATGCACAAACAATGCGTGGGGCTTCCATTCCGTTGCGGTGCCTTTGGATACTATGCCCAAATGGTACAATGCTCAGCACTCGATGCTCATTCCTGTCATATCCCCATTGTCTAGACAAGCACCAAATCCCCGCACGACGAACATTTGAGCGACGGTACTCCTGCACATCAAAGAACAAGGCAGTATTGGAGTGTACCAGAACAAAACGAAGGTCCAGGTCGCCGCATATCCACTGTGACCAGGAACAGCTAGCGCAACTGTGCTAGCTTCCTTGGCACCGGGACAGCCCTTGAGCTCTCACCAACGGTTGGCGGCTTCACTGAATCATCTGGCGCTTAGTAGCCTCGCTTCTCCCATCTTACTGGCCCACGCGCCGTTTGACTGGCCACCACATCCAACTCTCCTCTCTGGAGCGTCTCAGAACTCGCATCATGTAGTACATCTCCAGCCCAACGAATCCCGGGCGGCTACTGAGCCTCAAGCCTGAAAGATGGCGCCCGCTATGAAGCAAATGCCCCGCCCCGTCCAATCACCTTTGTGCTGGACCCGACCTCAAGTTTGACCGCGTCCGACAACCTTCCAGTCAAGCCGATGTACCAGCGCTTCTGACCAGTTACTGGGTATATCCAGATCTAGGCGGGGAATCTATGCAATATGTGGTATGGCGAACAGGCGGCAGCTTGACGTCTTTCCGGTCGCGTGTTCACATTGATGCTTCATACTTCTCCTTCCGTCCTTTGACTCTTCCTTTACCCTCACTTTTCGTTCTGATTTCGCGAACTGTTGATCGTTATCTTTTTTCTTCTTTTTTATTGTCCCTGTCGATCTTTCGTGTAATAGGCCACACCCGCTGTGTACAGTCTGCACAATAGCACAATAGAACAAACGACGGTCCCGCACAACGACGTCGATTCACTGCCTAGCGCCTCAGTGAGAACAAGACATTGTTCTTCGTCCCTGCCTTTGACACATCCCAAAAAGTTCCCACGCTCTTTCGTTAAGTCAGCCACCCGAGATCCAGCCTTCGCTCAAGCCACCAAACTCTCGCATCATGAGCACATCAAGAGTTGGCGCTTTCAGCCAACAGCCACCATCATTCACGCCACAGAGAACAACAAACGATAGCCTCGACCCAATCGACGGGAGCAGCCCTACATACGATTCATACTATCAGCCACGAGACCAGGAGGAACAGATACTAGTACATTTCAACGAGCAACCAGGTGGTGGCGTTGGGCACAGTAGTACGGAACGATGGGAAAATGAGGCCCCGGTGGCTGCTCATAGGGCATCAACAAGAAGCAATACAAGGTCTTACGCAGCGCGTATAACACGACAGAAAAGCCGCAGGAGAGAACTCCTGGACAGACAAGTCAAACCAGGCATTACTATTGACACAAGCTTCACAAGACATAAAGGCAATGCACCGCACCAGGTCTATCCTCATGGCGACAGGCGAAGCAACGGATCAGTCAGGAAGAGTCCTTGGTCCGGTTTGGGAAGATCCTCTACCCGCAACAAGGGGCTGGGAATCACCAAAGGGACCCCTCAACCTGAGAGTACACATCAAGCGAGAACTGGCGCTGATCGAAAAGATGCTACGGCCGTGTCCCTGTCATCAAGCGGCAAGCCATGGCAAGACATTTCTCCATGGGATCGACGCATTCCCATTGGCATCTCTGTACCAACCGACAGCATCTCTGACTTTAGCTCCTATCAAGCTCCACGTCAGCGCGCTGGGAGCGACGTTACACTCGTCACCCCCAGTATCATCATCACGCCTGCTGCAGCGATGCAGTCGGTGTGGTCGCCAGATACACCATTCACAGAGTCTGATTATACACCAAGCGTGTATTCTCGTTATCAGTTTCATTCCGACAATACAGATGTTCCGCCGGTTCCATCACTACCTGTTGGGCTATCAAAGTCTTTGGAAGGCTCCGCTCGTGTTGACACCAGCTCCGAAACGGATGGTGCGTACAATCATACCCGGAATGATACCTTGGATTCTGCTGGGACAGCGTTTGAGGAGTACGATGATTCTAGGAAAAAGGATCGCATCATGTCTTCTGGGACTGTGTTTGAGGAAGACGAAACGCCACTACGGGAGAGAAACATCGAGACATCGCTGGCTATTGACACTTCAGTAGTGCCAACCCCAAGACGGTCACAGGGGTGGTGGAACGTGATCACGACGCCATTTGTAACAACCCCCAAATCCGCGACATGGCGCAGTGAAGAACTGACACCAGATGTGCCGACGGTTCCTTCTCGATTTGGGTCTAACAGAGATGTTACATCGTCTCCATCAGCAACTAGTTTTCCTCCAGTCTTGTCCACGCAAGCGGCCACACATACCAAGAAAGACATGCGTGCAGTTACGGAGAATTATATTCAAACAGCCGTTGCCAACACAGCTTCTGCGACGGAACGTTCGGTTCAAAAAGCGGATTCAACAGCCGACCAGGCTGTAACCTCTCCCTTTTCGGCGATGTCAGCTACACCTGTCCTAGGAACAGCTGCACTGGGGACTGTTCTGATGCCGCGTCAAGTGGAAGAGCAGCCACGACAGATCAATATCAACATTGAGCTGCAAGACAGACGCCCAACTGTCAATAACCAGGCTGTACCGGCAAACGGAGTGTCCTCCACGCAATACGTGTCCACGTTCACGCTAGCAGCACAGCCCCGCCAATCACCGCAGCCACTTCCAGTCTTTGCTCCTCCGCCAAAGCTCAATCAGAAGGTTTCGCACTTTAGCTATGACAACATTAGTCAATCAAGCTCGACGGCATCTTCTCCAAATCTCAAAAGGGCTAAGAAGCATCGCAAGGTCTGCAATCTGACAAGCATGCTATCTTTTGGCAAGGGAAAGACATCGAAGGAAGCTCGACAAGGGGAGAAGAAGAAGCAGAAGAAGAGGGGAGTTTGTTTTTGGGGCTGTTGTTGCTGCCTTATCTTTCTCATACTTTTGGCGATCATCATACCCGTTGTTGTCATTCTCGTGAGGAAGAATAACGACAAGCCTACAACGTCACCACCAACTCAGGATGGTGGCAGCCAGTGGCTGAACCTACCCAATTACCCGCCCATGCCTACTGGCATTTTGACCGTTGCACAGCCTGAAGCAGTAGAAGAAGAGAGTGGATGCGTTGCGCCTACGACTCTGTGGAGCTGCGCACTACCAAAAGAGCTGCAAGCATCTGTGGTGCCAAACAAGCCGGATCAGCCAAACTTTAGGATTGAAATCACTTTTGAGAATGGGACGTCCGCACAACTACCTACCAGTAAGCGTGCCGCGCGGACAGTCAATCCAGTCTCAGCAGGCGCTTTCATTCGAGCTCGACTGCTTCGACTGCGGGCGGCTCCCTTGCCATCGCCCGCAACCCCGAGCGACGCAGATATGAAGTTCCTTGGTCAGACTACCGATGGGAATAGTGCACCTTTCGAAGGTGAAGCGACGCCTTTGCTACTAAGTTTCCAGAACCCAAAGTCCAGCGCATCGCGTCTTGCGAAGCGCGACAACCCAAGCGATCCCACCAACATCACCGCGGTCATACCACCTCCAATGCTAAACAGCGACGGGACCGCAGCACCCGCCAACCTCCTGCCTCTTCCATCAGCCCAGCCCCTTCGACTGTACAACCGTGGCAAGGACAATGAGTACTACGGCTTCTACACCTACTTTGACCGCTCAATCTTCCTCAAGCAAATCAACGGCACAAATCGTGGTGGTAATCCCGCTGATACGAACGGTGGCAGTACGCAAGACGCCGCCAAGCTACGATGTACTTACGCGCAAACTCGATTCCTGGTCCAGATCTGGACGCGCAGCAAGAACAGCAAGCCTCTACTGCAGAGTTCAACAGCCAACAGCTCCGACACATTTAAACGTCCTGGCACTTTCCCCTACCCAGTTACATTTACGCTCGATCGTCATGGCGGCAACGCAGCAAAGAAGAACTTGTACTGTTATGAGATTGAAGACGACGGGACTATCAAGGACGACGCTTCGTCGCGGTCTTTTCAGTTTGAAGATCGTGCATTTGGCGGGAATCTGGTGAATGGGACCCAGGGTCGTGACAGTGTGGTTGGGCCTATTGATGGGGGCACGGGAGGGTGTCGCTGCCAGTGGCAGAATTGGCTGAGTTGAGCGATGCATTAGACGAGGGTTCTTTTTGTTTATTAATGTTCACATTGTATACAGTATGCGGCATCGGGAGGCGTTTTTTCATGGCTTTGAAGTGGCATAGGCATGAGCGTTTTGTGCTTTTTTCTGCTGCCGTGCATTGTCTCGCGATGGGTGTTGAGGCTTGGTGCCTGGCTTGCTAGGTCGTGCGCGTACCGAAAAATTCGTAAATAGATAAACATAATACTAAATCATAATAAATATTACAACAATCTACTGTTCTACCATGGTTCCATTGCCATTCGCTTGGCGGCGCAAAACTGTGTTGTGATGCGCATAGCGTCGTGTCCAGCCCTGAGTTGCGGTGCCTGGCTTGCTGGTGGAGCGCATACCGAACAAATCGTGAATAGAGAAAATTAATACTAAATATTAACAAACAGTATATTAATCGAATACTCGGTTATTAATATGTTTCCGTGCGCTTAGCAGCGTCATATTGTGTTGTTGTTCGTGATGTGGTTGTCCACTGTCATGTCCGCCAAGCCTTCCACGCGAAAAATTCTATGTCCCTCCAGCACCACCACAACACCACCCCCACCCCCCCAATGCATTTAGGATGCAAAAAGGAGTGCAAAAAGGATGTTGTCAACGGTGGGATTCGAACCCACGCGGGTTGCCCCATGAGAATGCGCCTCAGAAGAGGAGGAAGCTTTGAAATCGCTTGAGTCACACGCCATAACCACTCGGCCACATTGACTTGACTTGTTTGATGGGAGTAAGTTGGGAATAGTTAATTGATATACTTAGCAAAAACGCTTGGGCTTATGGCGATTGATTGGGTAGTGAGGGGAAGCTGAGGTTAGTGCGGGGCCGAAGGAGTTTTTTCGCCGAGATACAAGGGAGGGGCAGGATATCTGTGCGTGGCTAACATGATAGGATCATAGTGGGGGTAAACTCCTTTTCCGAAATGCTTGGCCCATTTCATATATCAACCATGTATTCTAAGATCGTTCATCAGTGAATACAAGCATGTCTAGAATGATGCTTTCTGGTATTCCACCAGCCTCGTTAGTACCGCGAAGATTACTGTTCTCGCATACCATAGGTAGGCTACAGAAAGAGGCTAGTAATAGTGCTTAGCTGCAAGGCGGAGAGTCTGTACAGGAATTAATATACGGATGTAGCAATATAGCTATAGTGACTTTATTTGAAAATTTACATGCGGAATGATCAGCGAGCTTAAAGTACGATTTGGCATCGCTAGTGTCATGCAGAATAGACATGATTAAATCATAGGAGAGCTTTTGAAGTCCTAAACGAATTCTTATAGAGGAAACTGTATCGTGTCAGATATAACTTGATTTAATGCGCTGCATGTAAGTGTATAGAGTATATTTAATGCGCCGCATGTAAGTGGAAAGTGTACAGTTTCAGTTTACTATAACTAATGTTTCTATGGACTACATCATTGCGCGAAGGATCTCGTATCTCTTAGGTGTTTAGTAATTTACTTGATAGGTACCTGCAATGTCTCCAAGTCTATTTTAACTCACATAACTACTGTAATAATACACTGTAGCAGGTTCACTGTCATATAAAGTAAATTAAAGAGCATTTAAGAGGTAGCCTGCTAGGAACTAGAGGCCGTACATTCTTTTAGTAAGTGTATGGTAGTTAAACAAACGCTAGCGCTTCAGTATTCTAAACTTATTTGTACGATAAAGTGTTTCCTATTCGCAATAGGACAGCGCAGAATCTAGTTAAAATGACTTCTTAACATAGAACACTAGCTCTCTTAGTTAGTTGAACTAGCTAGAAACCTGCTAGAGAGATATTCGCACAGCCTAGGGCTAACATAATATTCTAGGGTGTATACAGATTTAAAAAAAAACTAGGCGATAATAGATGAATCTTAGTGCACTATAATACCTACAAGTATATTCTGATACGCTATGACGATGATACAGCCTAGCCAAGAGGCTGACGCTGCTATTAGAGTCAGTTCTGGAAGAGCACTCTCAGCACTATGAGAGCTGCAAATATATCCGCAACACATTAGTAGTTAATCTCGATGTTATTTGAGGTTAATAGTGCGTTCATGTCGTTCATGTCGTAAGCCCTCCACCACCGAACACCGTAGTCCTTAAGTAGGGTTGCCTCGGTGAGTTTGAGTTTGTCTCTGCCGAAGCCTATAGAGTGCCATCTAATGATGAAACCGTAATCTCCGACATGATTGAGGAAGGGTGGCAGTATATGCATGTTGCATGAAAACCATCTACGTCTATCGAGACGAGCGCCGGACGTTCAGTCGCAGCCGAGAGGTCTTTTTCGATGGCAGTCGTAAATGTCAGGGCTCGGACTTTGTTAGCTCTGTCTGTGTCATTGTCGCTGGCAAAGATGAATCCAGACGGTCGTGTTGGACTGGGGAGATAGGCTGAGGGGACAGTTATGCCAATTTGGAGGACGGCATGTCGGTAGTCATCATAGAGCCGCCGATGCGCTTGGAGTCATTCCTTGTTTAGCACCAGACATCCGGAATATTGTTGCCGGAAGCGCGGGCGACCGTAGTTACAGATGGTGTCTTGCCGTCGACTGGTCCGAGATCGAATCTGAGAATCTGGCTGTTGCGTGATTCGCCTTTAGGACGTAGATCTCTGCCGCACATTTTTCTGAGTGTAGATTTTAGATATGAACCAGGCCAATGTTTCCCATACCATAAGTGACACGCGAATGGGGATGTAGCGTCAAGCTGGTGCTTGGGGTAGTGCTGGGCGCGTGCCAGCCTCGTAGGGAAGTCCTTACCACAACCCCATTCGCAAACAAAGGGACCCGTCTGCCTGCAAATTTGATCTTCGTTTGACACAGCCGCCAAATCAGACGGAGAGAGCTCCCCACAACTTTGTTCTGCGTCTGGGCAAGGGACGCGTTGAAGAACCTCCAATGTCATCGCAGAGAGACATTCGTATGATTTGACGTCCTCGAGATCCCCGAGCTTCGGACGGAGGCGCGTTCGTTTGGCGGTCTCAATCGGACTCAAGGTTCCTCTGGTATATCTGGGGAATTCCACTACCATGACGTCCCAAACGATTCTTTCAGCTCAAAGTTTGACCTGGAGACATTTGATCTCATCTTCAGTACAATGTGTGAGCGTCCCTTTCTGCTTCGCCTTGTTCCCACTCGGAGTGTCCATGACGAAAGGCTTGTCGAAATTGCAGCGACTGCACATCGCATAGGTGCCATGACCTCTTCCATCGTGGGTGTTAAAGGAACAACTTCAAAAGTCATGCCCCTCCGGCGTCTTAGTTGCATATCCAGCTATCCAGCGAACCCTAGCTTAGATTCACACTGACGTCGAGATGTTGACTGGGAATATCGTCCGAACTCGCAAAGCAGAGCGCATCATCGTTGGGAACTACAGTTCCGAGTAAACTAAGCCTCCACGTGATCTGAAATTTTACTTCTGAGATGCAATCCGTAGACCAGTTCGTATAAGCAAACGCCTCACTTTTGCGAGTCTTTGCCAGCGTTCACCAAAAGATTGGGATTAAAGGATGAGCGCTAGAGCGAAGGCTAGATAGAAAGTTTCCTTGGGGCGTTGCGTCACCAATATGAAGCAATCTGCCTCTCAACTAGACGCGAATGCCTAATCCGTTTTGGTGCTGGGCATGCCCTCGTCAACTGTATGTTATGTAAATCCAACAGCAGTGACGGTCTTTTTGGTACGCTATAATGTTTCAAATTTATACTAAGAAAACCACCTGTAGACATTATAGTACACTCTAATAAATATGTTACAACCGATCTGTAGCCTGTATGAACTCTGGAACACTATATCATCTCTAGCTTGCGCATATGTCCCTCTGGCGTATTCCTGGGTATTTCAATTGGCCGAGAGACTTGGTCGCAAATCTGGGGTCGAACTTCTGATGGGCAAGTGCTCCCAACATAATGTGGGATCTTCCGCCACGCTATCATGCGATAGTTGACGACTCCCAAGCTCAACAGCTACGGGTAGATGGTAATGAAGCATGTATCAATGCTCAGATAGAATCTGCGCTAGCAAAATTCGATCGGCGAACTCTCCATGCTGTGTGTGCTGCAGAGGTGGACATGTGATCCGCAGGCCCAATTCTTCGCTCGGAGGCGCTTGAAGAGGACGCTGGCTGCAGCATGTTTGGCGATCAGATTCAAAAATCTGTTCTGGTGCAGCTGAATGGCGCACGAGAGCGTTTCTCCGGTTGTGTGAGGCGTATGTGCACAGGCAAAGTGGTGTGGCAGACGGCGAGAAACTGATGTGAGTCAGCAGCTACCTAGGTAAACTGGAGGGACGCCACGTCACGCCACACTACCCGTATCGTGGACCCCCGGAACCATGAAATAGTGGTGAGATTGAGAATCCACATCGTCTTTTCACGCCTTGCAATGTAGTGGTGAGAGAGAGAGAGTTGCGTGGAGTAACAGCAAAAGCTGTGCAAGATCAGCAAAGTCTACAAGCGTAATCATAGCCCTGCTTCAAGTTGCAGGTGGTGTTGGGGTAGAGTGACTTTGATGAGGCTGCGCACTTATCCTTTCCCAGGGCAGATCTCAAAGCTCGTTATCCTTCTGTAGGGCGTGGTAGACTTGGAAGGTTGACAATGTAAAGTGGCAGATGCGTTACAGCCTAACAATACTCATTCACATAAGCTAAAGCGGGAGGTAAATTCGAGTTCTGCGCACGGCGGTTTTACCGAATGCTTTAAAGTTGACGTGCATGATTGTAGTACTACCGCACAGTACCATATGGATGTAGTAGATCGACTACCTGGGCGCGGCCTCCAGGCTGCGCGGAACTAAGCCTGGTCAATGGCTCGTTCTACATCCCTGACGCTGATCCTGCCTCGAGTGGCGGCACGCATTGGGCACCGTCCACCAAACCACTCTCCGAGATCGCGACTCGCGACAACCGTTATCAAGCCACCTGATGAGCTGGCGACCACAGATCGACCGACGCGCCTAAAACCCTTTCCAAACCTGAACTTCTCAAGCTCAGCATGGTCACCCTGCCGCTCCCCTTCTCCTCCCACCCAGCGCTTCCCGTAGCAGCTATAGAATGATGATATTTGAGCACGCGCGCTCCCTGCCCGTCGGATTCCTGTCATACTGGGCAAACTACTGGACCTTCAAGAGTGAGCTTGCCGACGCCTGATCGAAGCTCTGCGCTCTTGATCGAAGTGTGCGCGGCAGTGAATATAACCCACTGATGGTCTGCCACGCGTGCATCCACTGGCCGAGTCTCACTATGCCTGATGAACATGGCTGCAAGGGTCTGACAGTGCCCATGATTGCAATGGACAATCCGCCATAAGATCAAAAGCGCAATCATGGTTTTCCCGGCCCCGGGCGGACGACAACCACGATGCACTGCTGTGTTTTGGCACGCCATGATCTTGTTGACCATCAATGCTATTGAATCAGAAGGCGCAATCCGATCCTCCGTGGCGCGTGCGATGTTGAAACCAATCCAAGGCTCTTCCGCAAGCCACGCAAATTCGTGTGCGAAGATTTGTGTTGAGATAACGCGCTTGGTGGTGATATCGAAGGTAGATATCTCGATATGGGGCGTTTGAGTACCCAAGTGGAATTTGGCTTAATACACTCCTCAAGCGGTGGCTGTGGGCTTGGGTGCTGAAGCTGGTGCCCTGCCCTTTGGCGGCTTTCCTTTGTCTTTGCTCTTCGCAGGCTGGGCTGGAGGCGGTGCAGGTTCGTTATCTACTGCCA